GGGTGAGGTTTTAATTATTGCGCATTTCGATTAAGTGTCGTAAAACCGAAACTAAACTAATCACGCCAGCCAATCAGATGAAAGTAAAATATCACAAGGAGGCAAACTGATCTCAAAATAAAAACAAGAAAACTGCTTCAATCGCGGAAAAACGTGAATGATCGAGTCGCAAAAAGAAGAAAACAGAGCCTCTGTTTTTGTGTCTTATCGTTTTAGAGGATGGCGAACCACGACAATCTCGCCTTGCTTACGACGCTTAATCGAAAATAGCAAATCACCAGTGAGTTTTTATCTAGACCTAGTTTACTCTTAGCTAATTTATTCCCACATAGCTCTTATTAAATTTAGAACCTTATTGAAATTTTCCTTTCTTTCCTTTTCTGCAATCCGTGTTTAATCTCAACAGTAACCGTCTCTGTTAGGTGATCTAGTTGAGTGTCTCTCTCGTTGGAGGTTCGACGTTAATTTAGCGGTTATAATCTTGGCAGTCTCTTTCTTTTCTGTTATAATCATCGCAGTCTCTTTTCTGAAAATGATAGTACAACACACAAGAACCGAGACGAGGCTGACAAAATGGGCGAGCAAGACTTCTCACTCGCTTGTCCGTTTCTCAGACACGTTTTTCTTGACTTTATCTCATAGCGCTCAGCAACAGAAAGAATGAGATAAAATGACGGTGCGCAATTGCACTCTAGGTGATGTGCATTGTTTGAATCATATATTTAAATCAAATCCTATAAAACCCTTCAATAAAAATATTACGAAAAATACTCGTAGCAAATCAAAGAAAAACCTGACTTGCAGCTACGAGAATGATGATAAGTCCAGCTAGAAATGTTACCATTACAGCTGGTTTTCCACAAGTGTGAATTTGTTACCTTAACAAACATAAATTCCAGGCGTAATTTTGGCGAGCGAGTGCTCAGTGTTTTCTGAACGAAAATTATGGGTGCCATCTTTGAAGGCTGGGGAAGAAAAAGAAATTTGTACCTAGGGAACGGTCGTCGGTCAAAAACAAGGAGTGGGGTAGGGGTGGGGATGTGAAGATTCATTTATATCATACACGCCTGTTGATTGGTTCTTACTTGTGATCTGTTTGAGGATAGACGCATAGATGATGTCATCGTAAACGACATTGTACTTTTTTTTTTCTATCAAATCAAACATTGATTCTAAGTTTGCTTGGGTCTGTACAGTAATAGATCACATAAGGCGTGAAAATTTTGGTAAGAACATCAGTGACACACTCGGCTGCGCCTCTTTTGCCGCTTCTTTGTTCGTGCCACATTTTGTTGTTGTCTGTCACCTATTTACTGAACAGGCCCACGGGAACGTGGAATCTGTTTGTTTATTATTCATACGAATTACAACCGTATAATGCAATGACTGATTTAAATAACATAATTTTTCAAACTCTATAGGCTTTTAGGGGAAATCTACAGAGTTATTTTTACTTCCTTTTTGAAATCCAATTTATTTCTAGGATTCGAACGGAAAAAAAGATGTACCGGTTTTTGATTCGTGGGGGGCAGGTGTTTCATTTTAAGCCGGAAATACTGGTTACCAGCAGTTAACCACCCATAAGACCTCTTATCGCCGTCTTTTAACCCTTTAACCCCTAAGAGTGACTGGCATCTAATTTCTCCTTACTATGTCACCCCTGAACGAAACATTGAGGTCAGGAGAATGAAGGAACTCATCACCAACTAAAGAAGCTCTTGCTTGTTAGACAAATTCTCCTTGTCAGCACCTTAGAAAATGGTTAGAGAACATTATGGAGAATATGTGTGCTGATGTTAGAGTGAATGGCGTTAAACCTGCGTGCAGGTTCTCGTGCTTGAGTTTCGCCCCACGGCACAGCCGCTTATTACACCATCAGCGTCCGCTTATGGGAACAGGTATTGAAACCCCTGGGAGGAGGAGGGGAGTAGAGTGTGTTACTTTCCGTTATAGGAAAGAAAGTCAGATTTGATTAAATTTAATAGGCAAAACAGTCAGACTTAACGAGCATAATTTAGTTGTCATTTGTGTAGTTGGAATGTGCATATTTTGCTCTAGATCAATAACCCCCCCCCCCCAAAAAGTAAGTACGTTCTAAGTATGTGGGTGCAGATAGATCTATTTTGCCATACGAGTGCCGGCGCTCTATTGCCAAGAATTAGATGTATTAGTGTCACAGCCGATCGACCAGAAAAGACCTTGGAAAGAGGCTTGTCAGTAGTACCCTCACAGTTAGTAGTTTTTTAAGCCAAAGTTTTACGATTTCGTTTTAGAAAGGCATTTTGTAATTTGTAAAGAGTACAGACTAAATTTTTTTTAAGATAGGCAAACTCTTGACGTACCTACTTACACTAAGTCACCAATTTTTTCAAAGGGACTTTGACCGTAAGTGGTTCCCCTCCACTGTTCGACAAATACCCGGGGCCGGTCCCTTGGGCTTGTTACTGAGAATGTCGAGGTGCACAAGTTAGGTTAATATACCGGCAGGAAATTGGCGCTGGTGTTGGTAAATTTGGGTTGTGTTCATTTTGGAGAAAGAAGGGAAAGAGAGATGAAATGTAACGGGCTAGTAAATAAGTAAATAAGTAATTATTGTCACGTTTTACAATTTAATTTATGTAACACAACTTTTTATATCGCGGAATAAAGATGTTTTTTTACTATTTCCCGAGCTGAGGTTGTTTGGAATGTACTGATCAAAACGGATCATTTTGTGTTTTGAAAACTTTGACCGGCCGTCGCCCCCTAAACGCATATCGAGTGTCACAACTCTGAACCCGGAACGTGAACCAAGTGTTAGATCAATGATCTCTCACTTGGTGTCCAGGATCGCTTGGTACCTTGGAGCAGTCGCTCCTTTTCGGCGAAGTCCGTCGCGCAAGTCAAAAAAGATCGGCGAAAAATATTGATATTAGCGCACCTCGTGAAGCTCTAAGATTGTAGCACACGAAAAGTAGTTTTTCTTCTTTGGGGTTTTTCTTTTTTTTTTGACTCGCGTGACGGACTCCTTCGAAAAAGATGTACTGTTCGTACGTAGTCTAATACTGAAGGGGAGCGCACTTGGATTGATAATTATTGAAAAAAAGAGAAATATCCGTGGTGCGAATCTTTGTTTTCCGTGGATACCCTAGATCCTGTAGATTCGCTAATAAACGTTCTTGAATAGTGTATCAGATTAACGATGACAATCACTAGTTGGTGACCGCGAGCCCATAGGCCCGATGAGAGGGCCTATTCATGTTCCGTACATAATGAAGATAATGGACGAGAAAATACCGCTTTCTTTGTCACTTCTTTTCCAATATGGTGGATACGTACGACCTTTTCAGAAGGTTGAGTGCGGGAGCGAAATTTAACAAAAGAAAACATCAAAATGTATCAGAAAGGGTTAAGGTGAGTTTTCATAGCATCTTTTTTTTTAAGTTATCAATTAACTACTTTTAAATGTTCATTAGATGATGCACACTGAGTCGACGAAGCCTCACGTGGTTCTTTAGACGTACCTTGGTTATCTTGTGTAATTGTTGCATAAAACTTATTCCATCCAAATAAAACACGAATATCGTCTTAAAATCGACAGAAGCTTTACTTTCGATGCCTGTAAATGTTTTCCCCTTTGTCATATAGTTAACATCCTCTATATACCACGGGTGCGAAGAATATGCACAAATATTGTCAGGGTTCCATAAACAACTTTTAGATCAACTATCTTCACTCCGCCGTTAATTTAAGAATATCGGTGAACTTCGACGTTTACGTTCCCGTGCTTACAAACCCTCCCGTGATAATTCCCCTCACAAAGAAGCTCCCTTTAAGCATAAATCTGATTTACTGTAACATTTTAATCTTAATTAAATACTGCTGTAGCTAGCGCTTGTCCCAAATGTACTCTATTGATAATCCAATCTAAGACCTGTTGCCGAGGGATAGCTTGTATACAGCCCCCCTTCCAGATCTTTTTTGAGGGGGTGGCTGCACACAGTGCATATAGATAACATTCACAGAATGGGAATGGTATATTTTTTAAATATCTCTCAAGAGGATGATGAGCCCAGGCATAATTTAACCCTTTTACACTGAGACATTAGTATGTATATTCTCAAAACTGTTCTTTATACATTTCACAAGGTATTGAAAAGGAGAATTTGTATAACAATCAAGAGCTCCTTTAGCTGGTGATCATTTTCATTATTCTCATAACGATAATGTATGATTCAGGAGTGGTACTGTAAGGGGAAATCAGATGCTAGTCACCAGAAGGGTTCAAAAGGTTAATGTCTTTGTTTTCAACTTCTGAGAATTATAATCTGTTTAAACATGTGTCATCAGGCTCTCAGTGAAGGTTCACTTGACACTGAAAATGCAGCACAGGCTCTTGACTTTTTTGGAACTTTGCAAGGAACAGAAGATGCACACCATCAATTAAGTGAAGACCATGAACTTGAGAGGAGTGATGATGACGTCAAATCAAAATGTAGGAAGCTGGAAGAAACTTCAGAAATAAAAGGGAAGAAAAAGAAAAGAAGAAGAGACCCAACTCCAGGTGAAGTTATGTCGTTTATTTGACATTTCTTTCACTAGCTTGATTATGTCTGAATTAACCCTTTTACCCCCAGAAGTGATTAACATATAACTTCTCCTTATGATTTCCATACATTATCAGGCAAACAGGTAATGAGAATCATCAAACTTGTTAAGTGAAAGTTGTTATCTTGACCTAACACCAAATTCTCATAACTAATTTACAAGGAAATGTGAGCAGCAAGAGGGGAGAATTAGCACTCAGATCTTGAGAGTTAAAGGGTTATAGTCTAGGTTAGACTGTGGTGGTGGTGTCCCACATGTGGTTCCAAGCTTTCAGCTCTCTTTCTAACACTGTGCAACACCAGGTGTTCTT